GTTAGGTTGCAAAGTATCATAGTATACAGCTAGGTGTGGGTGTATATTGCATCGTGAACCTGCTCCTGCGACAGGTCGGATCAGACCGTCCATTTTTGCGAAACAATACTGAAGAATTCATAACGAAATCGTCCACTTCATGTTCCTTTCCACACAAAACAGTTCTTCAATTTAAGGAATTTCAATCTTCTTTTAGATACACTATTTCTTTTACTTATACGAATTAAACTATTAATAAAATGCATGTAATATTTAAAATATAGAAGAAATCCTTTTCATTTTTAAAACTGATACTACAAAATTGTTATTTCACACAAAGGACAATTTCCGAACGAAATTTTTTTGTTAACCATCGCAAACGAAGTCGAACGGGATATCATGCCATCATCCATTGAAAGAGGGAGAGGTCGCGGAGAGGACGTGGAAACGGTAAATCATATCGCCGCGTATCGGGCACGAGTTTCGCGGACGAAGCAGAAGGCAATTTCGTAGTAGAACCGGCAATACGGCAGTGGAATCCGGTAGGGTTTTCGCTGGGAGCAGAAGCGTCGCAGTTTACTGCGGATGCCTCGGAACGGAACACTTTGCTTTGGCGAGCGCGAAACCGCTCGCGCCGCCCGATTTACGAGCGAGTTCTGCGCCGAGGACGTTGAAACGCGCGCGAGATGACCTCCGTCCATCTGCGTTCCCTGACAGACTCTGCCGACTAGAGAAGGAAATGTTCGCGTCTTCCACCTTACTATTTTTTTAAATAATTTCTCAGTTCGAACCAATCATACGTTTAACTGTTTCCTGAATCTGTCGATAGAATCTCAAATCGAATCAAGATTTCTTTCCCAGAAACGATTGGAGATACAAACGGACAGATTAGATTGTATGCATTTATGTGCAAATGTAATATGCAAAAAGTACATACAATTATGTTTGAAATAAATCTTCTTGACAAAATTATTGATTTGCTCTAAAAATCTTTGCAACGTGTAAAGAAAAATTGTATAGGCGAAAGAAATAGAGGGCTCGTGCGAACGTGGCACGCGCTGTTCTTTCGCATTTCTCCGTACGTAAGAAAAACAAAGAAACGAGAGTGCGTGTCTGCGTCGGTATACTGACGCTTTTCGATAAGCAGCACGTTGAATAGAAACGTTTGTATAATAATGTATGACTGTTATCAACCTTTTCGTGACGGACATTTCTCGTTCAGCGAAATATCTTTGCGCATATCCTCTGAGGGAAACTCGTGCTATGTTTTCCTCTCGAACAATTTGTACTTATTAATGCCTCGAGTAGAACGAGGTAAGTTAATTAGAGAAAAATTATAATAATGTCGATCCAACTGTTTAAGAATTACTTTGTAGTAAACCAGCAACCGTTTATCACTCAATATCAGTAATTATTATGATTACCCTGAGTGGTTTACGACTTCCTAGAAAAATTTGTTCTAATTGCTAGATTTTTACTCTTTTACTTATTATTACAGTTTTGTATTAAACAGTGTATGTTGTATATTAAATGATTCTAAAATCTTATATCATGTAGTGTTAGTTTCACTTTTTCGAACTATCAAGGATCGAGCCGGTTAATTCTTCTAATGTAAAAATAACCGTAAGAAACGCGTCCCGGAACTATTTTCGAAACTGGCGATCGAGCGCGTATGCCAAGAAGCGTTTCAATTACAAAAGATAACACATACAGTCTGTATACATATGTATAACACGGGCCAAGCTCCGGTGTTGTCTTACGTTGTTTGACAGCGACGCCCCGACTAGAAAAATAAAGATCGCGGTATGATAAATTTTCGCCGATCCTCGGCCTTAACCCCCCTCCGCCCCGTCCTTCAAAGTCTCTTCGTGACTGGACAACAATTTGTACGCAAATACTGTCTCTGTTTGTTACACATGGAATAACGACTAGATGGAAAATACTTGAACAGGGCGAAAAATTCGAATAAAATAACTAGTAGATTGAGTCAAATATATTTTCTTTTCACTGGATAAATTTTAATCTGCAGATTTTGTCTATTTATGAAATAATTATACTTGTAAACGTATAAATGTTTCTAACACAATACTATGTCTGATCAAATTATTGTCTTCGTTGCTTCTTCGTTTTGGTAATGACAAGTGCAATAATGTAATCGTTAATAGATATAGAATAATGGAAACTATTTAATCGTTTAAGAATATTTAAGAGTAATTGATAAGAGAACTACATGCTGCACACATGTAATGCGTGAAGAAGGAAACTAAAGGCTTGACGTCAAAAGACTGATGTAAAAACTTTGTCGGACATGTAAGAAACTGTGATAAGGAGGGTCGGATCGGAAATCGTCTGTCGGTGGCTCGTCGACGGGACGGCGATAACGTCGACGTAATAAGCAACGAGCAAACTCGGTGAAAGCGGAATTAGCGCCTTCCCGCTTTGGGGATATCGCGATAATTGGCCGGGAATATGTCGCGTGCACCGAGCCGTCGTCCATTTACGCGTCGCCATCGGCCCGGTCGCGTTTCACGTCCGATCACCTTTTCGAATAACAAGTTTAAAATCGCGTCGGCGATACGTACAGTTTAAGTCAAAAGTAATTTCTCAAACGTCGGACATACATTTCGTTTTTAGCCTCACGACTGAAATTAATTTTTATGTGCCCCTTGGGTAAAGTCCTTACACTCTGACTGATTTGAAAATGTTGTTGGCTTGACAAGTAAACATGTGCACTTTTTACATGCAAAAATTGTTAAAAAATCTGCGTCATGAACAAAAGAACAAGTGCGTTCTCATATGTACCTACGTATATTAAATAATCGAACTTGTACAAGCACAATACATCTACTCAAGAAATAAATTTTACACATTTTTTTATTTCATTCATTAAATGATTTCTTTAATTGGACAGCCTATAATTGATTTCAATTCTAGTGCTGATTATTTTTACCTATTCATTTAAAGAAGTGAATGTTTTAAGAAGAATATTAAATAAATGAATAGGAATACGAGTAGGCGTGTAGCTATTCTATGTTTTTGATCGAATTCCCAAAGATGCGCCGCGTTCTATTGGCCGCACAGAGAAAGTATCAAATTTAACGTCAGTTTCGCGTGTCAAGCATGTATAAATATCCACAGACTTTCTCGTACGACTGCCATCCGTCCGGGCGATGGGTCGTTAGCTAGCCCGACAAATTTCTATAACGTCGCGACACTTGGAAAGACATTATTTAATTCTGCACAAAAATATAATCCTATAAGTTTTAATTTCAGCGTTAAGAAAATGTATTAATAAGACAGTGATGAATTACGGTGTTCCTCAGATTTAAGATACACGTCTAATAAGAAAGACTGGAATGTTCACTTTTTCTGAGCTTTTCAAGAACGAGGTAAATTACATTTAAAAACATTTTGATATCCTTTATGGAGAGATGATTGCAAGAAGATGGAATCTTTGAGGAAATCGTCACCTGTCGAGCATCGCGATCACCCATTAGCGTGATTCGAACCTCGAGGCGCCCTCGAGTGCTACCTCGAAACCGCAGAAAAACCGTTCCCGAAGGGAGGACCGCCCTCTCTCCTCGTATTCCCGACACGTCTCGCCCGTTTCGGTGATGCGCTCGCACGATCCACGACATTCGTCACGACATCCTCGAAATCTTAATAGAATCACGACAAGAAAATATTTCCTTCTAATTTTATTCTCATTCATTGCAATTTTCAATTAAATCGTATTGCAAATTCTAACTCTGATTGACATTATGAAAATCTAATAAGTTATAACTTCTTATCGGAGTCTACATTTGTCAAGATTTCAATTCTCCTACGACAATAGAAAATGAACGTTATCGTATCTAATATATTTCAAACATTTTGTAATCTAATTCTTAATTAATGAGAATGAGTAACCTGTAATTTTACTGGTCAAACTAGAAAATTGATTAGACAAAATGTTGTCTGTATCCACTCTTCCTTGTCCTTCGTTCGCGAACCTCGACGGTATTCGCAAGGAATCCATCGATGAAAATTCCGGATCGGCACAAGAGAACAGAAGGTGAGGGCGAGAGAGCGCGCACACACTACGCGGGACACGGGAACGAGGCGAGCGCGAGAACCGGTTTTCCATACGTTTTAATTTCACGCTGACATCGGCGCAATTCAGTTTACACGGATACTGGCCATTTTCTATCGCTGCCGGCCTGGCCCGATAGAAACCCAGAGAGAGACACGCCGATACGCGACGCGCTGCAAGAGAGATTAATGTGCGGCCGTGGCGCGCGTATTTTCGATACGTTTCCCACCAACGCGTGGTTCAGGATCGAACGCTTCGTTAGAATCGATTACCAAACCCAATTCCGATCTATTTTTATGAATGTAACGTTCATTAGCCGTTACGGTGATACGGTAATACAATGATCACGAATTGACAGACAGCGGCGTCGAATGTTTCGAATCATTAAAGTTATGCATTGAAACGTCAAATTGATATAACATGCTATTAGATTGAAACAATAACAGACATCGTTATTCAACTGTTTCATGTATGGTACGTGATGAATTGTCATGTCACGTTAGGAAATACCGAAACTTAATTAAGAACGTTGTTAAAACTGGAATATGGAGATAATCGCACGCCACGACACTTCTTCCATTACTGCACGATTATCAAACTTCAAAATATGAAAAATAATTTGAAAATTAAAGAACAACCTCGAACATTTCCTTAGTCGCGACAATTCCTGTCCGTTGCTGTCAGTTCAATCGCGCACTCAATGAAATTAAGCCCTTCTACACGAAACAAGTCTATTAACCCACAGGTCAAGTCAAAACTATCGAAATACCTTCTCACATGTTTCTCTGAAATCGCTTATCGTTTAATTTAAATTAGGAACCGAGGGACGATTTTATTGAGGTCGGAGACCTTCACGAGTCGCACTCTGTCCATCACAATCAGTCCCAACTTTCAGTCCATTTAAAGAAACTATTGGTAAAGAACTATTTGGATTCCGTTTTACACTCACAATTTCTGGAGCACACGACAGTCTCCGAGTCCCGTCATCGAACATCACGAATTTCCGGGATCCACGAATTTCGGCACAAGTCATTCGTTACAGCGTTCTTCACTGAGCACTGTGTCCACGAAATTCCCATTGTGATCACTACACTTCTTCACGACGCACTTTCAAACACCGTGAAACGGGTTTCTCAGAGTCCTCTCTTCCTGTTTCCTCGTTCGATTCACAGAGATTGTATTTCCTCGTTCAATTCGCAGTACGGAATACAGTTCGTTTCATGAAAGACTTATTACTTGGCGATTCGTCATTTGACAATCAATGGGATCAACAACATAGAATTGAAACTCGAGGTATATAATGTAAAAATCTGTCACAATTTTTTATGTCGTTATTCGAATTCAGTTTAAGGTCAAAATTTTAGTCAGTTCCGTGCAACTGTCAGTCCGTCTGCTGAAGTCTCTAATTTCACTATATTAATCTAGCGATGTCACTTCGTCACGATGCTCCGTACTAGCCACCGGTTCGTGCGAACCGATCGGTTACTCCGAAATCCACTGCGCTGTCACTTGCCTTATTCATCCGAGCACGAATTCCGGGAAGTGATCGTTTATCGAGAACACTGTTCCGTACACATCACTCTGTCACTCGGTCCCGTCCGTCGATCGTCAAGAAAAGGTCCTCCGTCGCGAGAAGCACTCCGTCGAATCCCCGCGCGTTCCTACCGCGACTCCTATCCCGCGAGATCAAAGAGAGAAAACCAACCTCCGTGAAATGTTGTATGGATCACTCACCTGCAGTATGTATCCCCGCGTGTAATCCTCGTACGTCCAGCCGAAAGCGGCTAGTATGCGTGTCACTTGCGCGTGCTGCAACTGGTTGAACAACTGATCGAGCAAGATCTTTAGGCGGATCGGTAGTGCGCGCGAGCCGTAGAGAACGAGGGATGCGACGTCAAACGCGGCCGTCGGCTCGACACTCTCTGAAGCCGGTGGCCTCTCCTCCTTCACCGCGACGTCGCCTCCACCACCGGCACATCCACCACCATCTCCGCATCCGCCCCCACCTCCGCGTTCCCTGTCCCCACCAATGAGTCCCCCACCGATCGTCGCCGGGATCCCACTACCGCAGCCTCCGGCATCGCCACCCGCCCTCCTCGCCACGGCGGCGACGGCGGCGGTGGCGGTCGTCGTCGTCGTCGTCGCCGCCGTCACCGTGGTCGTCGGCGTCTCCTGCTTTACCCTCCCTCCGCCGCTTTTGTCCTCCCTTCCAACGGCACGGGGGCCGGAGACGACATCCCCACCGTTCGACGACAGTCGCGCCAGCGCTGCAACAACAGAGAGGGAAAAATACTGGTTAGAAAGAGAAGTCCGAAGTCGTAGGACGGAGCGGCGAATTAGCGCGTGTGTTGGTGACCGTGGACAAACGTACCAACCCCCACCCGATATCTCGGCGTGGCACCTCCCACCCCCGCAGCCGATCGTACGGCTCGTCGCTACGTGCCCCCTACCCACCGCTCCGGGTCTCCGGCTCTCCGGGTCGTTCACGGTTGCTGTCCTTTCGTTTTGTTCCTGTCTTTCGCAGTCGCGCTCCGCTTCCCCAGCCTGTGTCTCTCTCGCTTCTGTCTCTCCGGGTATCGTTCTCGGGCAACCTAGGGTCGCCGTAGCACCCAGGGTACTTACTTACCCCCACCTCCGGGCTCGTTCCCCACCTCGACAACCGGGTGCACCAACACCCGGACCGACCACCCGTTACTACACGCGCGCGACGAACTTGTAAATACTAACACCGACGCAGACGCTCGCGGCTGCTACCAACGCCGTGGAATGCACTACCACGACCGGCCGCCTTCCCCACCAACGGGATTTTCTCATGAGACCCGGCATCCATCAACCTGCTGCTGCCGCCACAGTGTCTCGGTTCGTTCAGGTTCGTTCGCCGATCGCTCCCGCCTGCCTTGATACGTGTCGCTGCCGCGATACGAGCACTGCGGGGGATGCTATGACGTGTACTTGTATACATTGTATGTAACTATCAATGTCTTTCCTACATTATTTTTTCTCTGTTATAATGAACAACGGCAATAAACGAACGAGCTTCAAATACAGAAGTCTTTTACTCAGAAAAAGAATTTTTTATGTCAGAATTTTAATTGTTTGTTGAACATTTTAATTGTTTCACTTATTTTAGTGATCTACGAGCATTTATTTTTGTAGACTACCATTTTGATTCCATGTAACAAAAATGGTTTGAAACAGGATATACTGTTCATGGTTGAAAATCGTGTTAACAATTTCCTTGTAAAAGCAGCTCCGTGATATCGTGCGGGCATTGAACGAATCAGAACGGAGTCTCGCGAGGGGAAACGCCCGCGGACACGGTGGCTCGAGTTACGCACGATGCATTGCTTTCTCAGAGACACCGACGTACTTGCATAGTCGGCGGGCGGCGCGGCCGTAAGGTCTCGAGGCGCTTTCCCTCCAGAACCGTCACGCTTTTCGCACCTGACGATTCCTATCTCGGGACACGAAAGTTTATGGGCCTTCTTCCACCGCGCGGCCGCACGATCGCGCACACCTAAATATCTACACACGATCCTCGATGCTATCGTCGCTGGGTTTCGCGTACGACGAAAGCATTAATCGAAACGGTACGCGTTAATCCTTTCCCCCTCGAACGTATCGAGCGATCGCCGATTTATTGGTTGATCTTGATCGAGGATCGTGTAATAAGCAGGGTTCACGCGAGACACGTCGATTACGCGACAAACGCTTTTAATGAAACGCGATCGAAGCTATGCAAATCGAGAAGGTATCGCGACGATCAAGTTTCCGATTCAACAACGTTTAATTTCGGTAATCGCCGCAGTCTTATCGGTGATGGCATCAGAGTTTCGATTATGCTCGTAATACGAGACACATTTACATAGAACATGTTCAGTTAATGAGAGCCGGAAGAAAAATGCAAATATGATACTCTTAATGTGTGAACTCCATTATAAACAATTTCTATTGTACCTGTATTTGTTCATAATTATTTGAAAATCAGTCGGAGTAAGATTATTCAACTCGAATCATGCTTGTCAGGCTTAGGTACAGTTCATTGTTGTGGTAAAAGATGCAAACTGAAAGCATCGTTGGGTCGCGAGGATCCATTACGCGCGTCCTTTTGGCTCGTAGCTGATAACATTGAGAGGGCAGCGTGATATTGCGTCACGAGACGTCGCTACACCGGCCATGATTGTCGCTAGCTGGTGTTAAGGTGCCGTATCGGGTCCCAGCTGCGGCGATCAATAGAAATCACTGAGTCATCCCGATCGGGCGCCACTTGTCATTAATGACTATCCGTTTTTCGATTTAATTAAACCGCGATGACAATCTTACCACCTAGACGAGTCGGGCCTTTCGCCTCGCGCGTCCCAAACACGATTTCGTTTTCTGGAACGATGACTTTCGGTCGTTTTAGATACGATTTCTTTAGTTACTCGATATCTGGAAATTATTGTTACTTTCGTTACATATATGTATTGTTAGTTTTTATATGCATTATTCGTTTCAGTTTTTACTTAGGAAGCTAAAATCTGCATTGTCCTAACACATTTTTATTAACTCTTCTATTTTTTTAAACTGTTAGAGATACTATATATTATGCGAACTTTTTATGTGGATTATGTGGATAGTTAAATAAAGATGATAGGCTGGAAGAATTCAATCTTACTGATCTAAATCAGTACCGTCAAGAGATGGAGCTTCGTGCTCGGTTCTATCTGTTGCCCTCGCATACAAAGAAACACGACGTGTTCTCGAAAGAAGCATCTGTAAGTACGCATCAGCACATTTCTATGATGAAGTGACAATTGACAAAAAGTAGATATCTTCTGAAAGTACAATTTGAAAACTAGTAGTAAGATATGTATCTCAATTCTACTCAGCTAAGCACAATTCCATTATCAACTGAACATAAAAAACAATGTGTAAGTCATGATTGATAATGAAAAATACTTTCCCGTGTAGAATTTAATGTACGTTCAGACGAATCAGGCAAAAAATCATTTACAATCAATTTTGCTCCTCAGAAAAGAAACACTTTTTATTGTATTGGTTTTAAATTTTTGTTATGTTAAAATTATGTCAATGATTAAGAATTGGGACATTTACCTTATAATGAACAATATTATGACTTCATCGCCATTTAAGTTCAAATAATTTCTTGTACAATGAAAAATAGATAAGTTATCAAAATTTTAGCTTATTTTTAGTTTTAACGACACTTTCTGATCATCATGACTTGGATGAAACATGGCAGACATTGACGAAAAAAATGATCCGCGATTCGTTTCGAAAACGATTCGCTTCACCTCACGGTCTGTTTTACTTCGAACGCGGCGTTGTTATTTTTCTCTCTTTTTTTCGTGATGGTTTTGCGCGCGACAACGAATTTTCCGACGAATGAACACCGATGGCAGGGTAGCGGCGAGGAGGTGGGTGACGACCGTTAGCTGGATTTGCGGCACAGAACGCGTTTTTTGCAGGAGACACGATAGCTCGAACCATGCTCGTCAAATTTCACGGGATTTTCGGGCCCGCTATTATTTTTGCTCTCGCGTATCGACGCGCCTCACAAAGGACACTGTTTACGCACCCATTTACGCCCGTTCCACGCATTTTCGCGACGTTTATTGTCGGATCGCACTCGCTTTGTTTTCGGATCCAGTGGATTACGTATTCTTTTTAATTCGTAAATTCCATTACTCCATTCTATCTCATAGCTATATCATTCATTCAGTGCATGTTTCCTTTTATCAAAATCTATTCTTGTTTAAGTTGCCAAATTTAATATTATTCTACAAACAGCTCATTTAAGAAACACGACGTGTTCTCGAAAGAAGCATCTGTAAGTACGCATCAGCACATTTCTATGATGAAGTGACAATTGACAAAAAGTAGATATCTTCTGAAAGTACAATTTGAAAACTAGTAGTAAGATATGTATCTCAATTCTACTCAGCTAAGCACAATTCCATTATCAACTGAACATAAAAAACAATGTGTAAGTCATGATTGATAATGAAAAATACTTTCCCGTGTAGAATTTAATGTACGTTCAGACGAATCAGGCAAAAAATCATTTACAATCAATTTTGCTCCTCAGAAAAGAAACACTTTTTATTGTATTGGTTTTAAATTTTTGTTATGTTAAAATTATGTCAATGATTAAGAATTGGGACATTTACCTTATAATGAACAATATTATGACTTCATCGCCATTTAAGTTCAAATAATTTCTTGTACAATGAAAAATAGATAAGTTATCAAAATTTGAGCTTATTTTTAGTTTTAGCGACTCTTTCTGATCATCATGACTTGGATGAAACATGGCAGACATTGACGAAAAAAATGATCCGCGATTCGTTTCGAAAACGATTCGCTTCACCTCACGGTCTGTTTTACTTCGAACGCGGCGTTGTTATTTTTCTCTCTTTTTTTCGTGATGGTTTTGCGCGCGACAACGAATTTTCCGACGAATGAACACCGATGGCAGGGTAGCGGCGAGGAGGTGGGTGACGACCGTTAGCTGGATTTGCGGCACAGAACGCGTTTTTTGCAGGAGACACGATAGCTCGAACCATGCTCGTCAAATTTCACGGGATTTTCGGGCCCGCTATTATTTTTGCTCTCGCGTATCGACGCGCCTCACAAAGGACACTGTTTACGCACCCATTTACGCCCGTTCCACGCATTTTCGCGACGTTTATTGTCGGATCGCACTCGCTTTGTTTTCGGATCCAGTGGATTACGTATTCTTTTTAATTCGTAAATTCCATTACTCCATTCTATCTCATAGCTATATCATTCATTCAGTGCATGTTT